AAAAAAACAGTCATAAATGCACACGTAAGGACAGAAAAAAGATACACAAATATATATTCGTATATATATATATATATATATATATATATATAGAGAGAGAGAGAGAGAGAGAGAGAGAGACGGTGTATAACTTTTCATTATCATAGTGTACTTTTTCTTACACATAGTTTCGTTGGCAAATGTCTAATCTGGCTTTGCTGTTACGCACCAAAATATTCTAATCTGTAAAACTGTGTCTATACTATGTTCACATTGCTCTATGCTACTCCGTTAAAGTACATTTATCCTCCATATTAATCACTTCCCCTGATTTTTCTCTCTTCAGCCACTTCTTCAAGGCTCCTTGGTAAAAACTCTTCCATCAGATTGTTTTCTCCACGTTAGGCGAAAAACAGCAGTTGTGTTATAACTCCTTAGCTTCTGGTTCATCTATTAAACAGAAAATATTCATGTTTCCATTTACTATAGCAAAGCCATGAAGGTCCTAATGCGATGAAGTACTTTTTTCATGTCACAATCTAAATAAACATATATATGATATACTCAAATTTAACTGCTCATCATTAACAAAGATCTGTTTGACTTACTTGCTCCAGGATGTCTGCTTGCACCGAAGGATTACTTAGATCCAGCATTGAGTCCTGTGGGCTGATCCTCAGTTTAATGAAACTCAGCTTGTTCCCTACTATAAACACATGTAAACAGAGTTAGTCTGGATCCTTCATTTTACACATTTCTGTCATGGAGAAAGACATAGATATTTTTTTTCTATTTGAAATATAAATGTTATATAAATTTTCTAGTAAAGAGTTTTACTCACTGCAGTTACAAATGAATGGATGTGTTTCTCTACATGCCCTGTCTCCCCATTTACCAGATTTTACCTTCAACATAGCAACACAGTTTTCTTGGTCATTAGTCCGAACAAGCATGTCTGGGTTCCAGTATCTAAATGAGGAGTCAGTCTGGCCTGACCACACCCAGGGGTCTCTGAAGAGACCAACAAAAACTTCATTGCCATTGGCTACTTGCTGGACTATCTGGTACTCAGCATCATTCCTTAGACTGGTCAGGTCTGTGTAGTGTGTTCTGCAGTAATCCCGAGCAGCAGTCCAAACCATGCTTTGTGTGTTAAGGATGTACTGATCGGCACCTTGTTTTGTCGCTGCAAAGTAAAGTAGAATTAGCTTCATTGACTTTTCATTTCCACAAAATTCAAAGTTAAAACATTTGCTTTGTAGCAATGGTCCTCAGGTTTCAGCCAAGAGTGTGCAGTGTGTCCTGTAGTATTCCAGAGAATCAAAGCAAGACAGTTTTTATCTATTGACAAACTACGGATCAAAATAAAGAGACATTTTTTTAAATTTAACTTTAAACCTATCTACAAAG